AGGCAAAAGTCCTTAGAGAATGGTGAATTAGCAGTACAAAAAAGAGATTTGTTAGGTCTTCTCTTGGAATCAAATTTAAATGAAATTCGAGAACATGACAATAATAAAGATGTTGGCATAAGTTTAGAAGATGTTGTTAAAGAATGCAAGGTTTTCTATCTAGCTGGCCAAGAAACCACAGCATCATTACTAGTTTGGACGATGGTTCTATTGAGTTCACACAAGGAATGGCAAGAACGAGCTAGAGCAGAGGTCCTTCAAGTCTTTGGAAACAAAGAACCTCATTATGATGGTTTGACTCACCTTAAAGTCGTAAGTCAATTTATTCTCTACTATTTTAATTATTATTGTTTATCTTTTAATTAAAAAAGTATAGTACTATAAGTGAAAAATAAAACAATAAGAAGAGTATAAGGTTTGAATCTCTGCCATGCRTTGTTGAACTAAAAAAAAGAAGAATATATTGTACAAGATCTTGAGAAATAATGTGAATTTTATGTTAAGATTCATAATTGGTGATAAGAGGAGCTGCTAATGCATCTTATAGGCCTTGTTAGGTCCCTTCATGTCTTCCTTAACATCTTACAATGYCACAGGTAACTATGATTTTGAACGAGGTCCTACGGCTATACCCACCTGCTGGTATGCTGAATCGTATTTTTGAAAAAGAGAYCAGACTTGGAGAATTAATAATGCCTGGGGGAGTGTTGTTGGGCATACCAGTTATTCTAATCCATCGTGATCGTGRAATATGGGGGGAGGATGCAGATGAATTCAACCCAGAGAGATTCTCAGAGGGAGTTTCTAATGCAGCAAAAGTTCAACCTGCTTTCTTCCCATTTGGATGGGGTCCTCGAATATGCATGGGCCAAAACTTTTCTATGATGGAGGCAAAAATGCTACTATCTTTAGTTCTTCGATCCTTCTCATTTGAGCTTTCTCCCTCATATACTCATGCTCCTATTGCTATTATGACCACTCAGCCTCAACATGGAGCTCATATCATCTTTCACAAATTGTAATGGTAGTCACCCTACGTTTGTGTTAAATATGACTCGTTTTTTAATTTTGGAAGAGATCAATTTATGGGATTGATATTTAAATTATTTAGCAAATTATGAGAACATATTTATTCTTCAATATCAAAATAAAAATGCAACCTCTCTTGCCTTTATTACAAGATATGAGATATTTTGGGATAAAAAGGACCAATCGACAGTTTAATTTTAAAAATGATTTTTATTTAGTTTTTAAAACTTGGCTTAAATATTAAAAACGTTTCTAAAAAGTAAATATCATAGTAGTATTTATAAGTTTAAGTTAGAAAATTAAGGGTCCGTTTGATAACCATTGTAGTTTTTGATTTTTGTTGTTTTTAGTTTTTGGTTATTGGTTTTCTGTTTTTAAAAACAAAAACCATATATGTTTGATAACGATTTTTATTTTTTGTTTTTGAAAAACAGAAAACCAAAACATGTTTGGTAACCATATTTAGTTTTTTATTTTTAAAAAGTTAGAAAATTGAAAATACATATTAGAGAGAGAAAATTTTTATGTAGAGAAGATATGACAATGGTGTGGGAACGAGTGGGGATGCTCTCCCCCGTGAAAATTTTTAGTCTCCGTCTCCACCTCGTTCWTGGRTCCGAGAGATATTCTSGAGAAAAATTAACGATTTTATAATTGTTTATAATTATTTTTAGAATTTAAGTATAAAAAAAGTGTAACAAATATATATTAATTATTTAAAAAATAGAATCGGGGACGGGACGGGGTTGGGACATGCATTTCCTATTTTTGGGATATGCGGAACGCCTAATGTACAGACATGAAAATACAAGTTTAGAGGAATGCAAATAAACTTTTGAAAGATAAATTTTAGAGAGATAAATAAAAAAATTTAGAAAAAAAATAGTGAAAGAAAAGTTAAAGACAAAAAGAGAAAAATTGTAGAGAAAAAAAATAAAGTCGAGAGGAAAAGATATGTTAAAGAAAAAAATTATAAAGAAAGAGAAAAATTATAGTGGAAATAAATTTAGAGATAAAAACAAGATTCAAAATATAATTTTTAAAGAAAATAAATAAATACAAAGATAAATAAAAGTTACCGTTAAAGAAAATTGAACGAAAAAATAAAATCAGAGGAAAGAATAGATTACGAATAAAAAGAAATGTTATAAAAAATGAAATTTTAAAGAGAAAAAAGTTAGAAAAGATATTAAATTTTTAGACAGAGAAAAACTGGTCTATAAGGAAAAAAAACAAAAATACAGCAAAATTTGGAGAGAGATAAATAATAATAAATATTCAAAATATGAAAACTCTTCACAGAGAAAAATAAAGTTTGTAGAGAGAAATTTAGAAATAATAAAGTTTTAGAGTGAGAAATAAATTGTTTAAACATAAATGAGAGAAAGAAAAAAAAAGTTGAGTAATAGAAGAAAAAATGAGATTTTGAAAACTCCATTTTTTTTTGTTTTTGAAATTTATATAGAATTTCAAAATGGTTTTTGAAAAACAAAAAACAGAAGATTGAATTAATTATCGAATAATCATATTTGAAAAACTAAAAATAAAAAACAAAAAACAAAAAACGAAATGGTTACGAATCCAACCTAAAACAAACAAGTTTTGGTCCAAGTGAAAGTGTTGAAGAAAAGTATAAGAAGAAAGTGACAAATGGAGAGAGAACTTGGAATCGCGGTGCCAAGAGGCAGACTTCACCTTGGGATAGTTATGAGCAACTTGTAATTTTGAAATTTTAGATTGAAAGAAAATTCCAGGATGGAAGTACGTAAAACTAATCATTTCTAATTTAAAATTTCTCTTCTCCCTGATCACAGGCTATTATTATTATTATTTTTTTTTGCGTGTGCAGGTTTGTACCAACCAAATCGAACAATGAAATGAAAAGATTAGACAGAGAAATAAGTAATTTGCTTTTGGGTATCATAAAGAACAGGCA